CCCCAAAACCCCAAAACCCCAAAACCCCATGAGTAGCAATATTTTATTAAATGTTAATTGGATTTATCAAAATACAAATAATTAAAAAACATATTTTTATCAGAAAAATTGTAATTAATTAAAATGCAGTCAATTATCCAACAAAATATCAATGATAAAAATACTTGCTTTATTTGCATTAGCGTTTTTTCTAAAGCATTCAAAAATAAAGGATGCGGGCACATGTACTGTGGTGAGTGCATCAAGAAATACATCAAGGTATAGTTCCATGCACTTTAAGACTAGAAGAAAATCAAGTAAGTAAAAAATCCAATAACTGATAGTAATGTGAATCTTACTTGCTTTAACTTAGATGTTTATTATGCGAAAGTCCTTTGGAATTTAATGACCAAATTGTGGAAGAGGAGAAGCTTGAACAAATGGAAATAGACTAAGATAATTAAATTTAAAATGTCAAAGTCTAAGATAAGCCATAAATTCTTGTAAGCTATCTAAAAGTTAATCATTAATTCTTTAATTTAGCAATAAAAATAATCTAATCCTTAGTATCAACCTTCATAGTAACAGCAGCAGCAATAATAGCCTTCGTAGCAAGTAGTGCAATAGCAGTAATAGCAGCAGCAACCTGCCAATAAAGTATTTAGAGAAAAGTTTGATTGTACCTTTTGCCAACAAATTAATTTCAACCACAACGATATGTTATCACATATATAGCAGAGACATTATCGCTAAAATGGAGTTTGTCCCATTTGTATTGAAAGAGGAGGAGATAAAAACTTTGTATCTTCAAATTTGTTGGGACATTTACATGCTAGACATTATGATGACCCTTTATACTGCCCAGATTAAGAATCATACAAGCAGCTCTTAAATTAGTATTTTTCTAATTGATGAGATACGCTTAGAATGAAAATGAGAGCAACAGAAATAAGAGAAAACATTAATACTTAACTATGATATATATATTTATGTATATATATTTATTAATTTCATTAACACTTTATTCAATCATTATTGCTACCTCTACATGATTGCTGACTCAGTGATAGCCGCTTGATAAATATTACTTGGAGTATTTTAAGTTATCATTGAGCCAATTTATCTGAGCCCTGCCCCTCTAGTACTGCTACTGCCCTTTTTGCCAGTTGGTATTGGAGCTCTATTCTAACCCTTTTAAATTGCTTGCTCATTTGCAGAACCATTAGGAATTCTTGTCATTGTATTATTTACCAGCATAGGCATCACCATTTTCTGTTTGTCGAAGTCTCCTTAAATTCTTGTATGTGAATTATTTGTTTTAAGCCCACTGAATGAATTTGTCATGTTATTTTGAATATTAGACTCTTCTAGAGGTCGCGTTAACTTCCTTTCTCGAGAATGTGCTGAATTTGAGTTTTGCCTTAGTTTAGTCAATGCAGAGCCATTCTTCCCAGAGATCAATTCACTACTGTTGTTTTATGCATATCCAGTAGTATTTGAAGAAGTGGTAGTGTTTGTACCCTGAAAAGTTCCTTGTTTAGTCAGCACCTAGGCTTAGTCTTTTTTCTTATTCTGCATAAATATCGGAGCCTTTTCGTTATTTCTATGAGCTAATGGGTTTTAGGTTCTTATTTTGCTATAAAATTAAGCATCCAGGAAGTAATTAAGAGGCCTATCTTCTTCGAAAAATTACTTATAGTAGGGAAAATCCATTGTTGGGAATACTCTTTTAAATGCTCCTTTTCTCTTCAATTCTTCTTCAGTCTCTTTGAAGGCAATTTTTTCATCTTTATTCATATCTTGGAGATTTTTTGGTTGTAGCAGAGACATTCCAGACCCTTTTTTAGCGAATCCTGCAGACCTTCTTGAGTTATTCTTCGCACTAGTATAAGCTGAAATATCTCCTTACATAGAACCATAAGCTTAAGTATATTAAATGCCTAATTTCTTTTAAATATTTGGATCAGTAGTTTATCTCTCTTCCAAATGAATCATACCGGATAAGTTAAATAGATCAGCAATGAGATTGCTTTTAATTTTCTAATCTAGTGGAGAATCACAATTAAGACTAGGACTCAAATTGACTTCCAACAGCCAGGGCTCTAAATTATCATCAATTAAAACATCAAATCCAAGTAATTCAAAGCAGTTGTTACTGAAGGGTACAAACATCTCAGTAGCGTTATTAATAACATTTTCACCAGCAATAATTGTTTTTAGTATAATATCATCTATCTTCTTAAATAGCTATTCATGATCTATCCCAAGCTGAGTGAATTTTCTTCGTAAAGCAGTCAAAGACCACTTACTGCCTTGGTCATCTTGGGCTGCATCAGTATTATTAATGAAGTTTGCATTGTATTTATTAAGCGAGTAGTTAGTTAAATGCACATACCTTGACTGCTTCTTTGAAGTTTAGTTATACTTAACAGTTGCAAACCTTGTCAGACCTTCGTCATATATATACACTCTAAGTGGATTGATTGAAGTAATAGCCACATATATTCTCAAATCAAACTTGTAGTCATCAATACAAAGAGGATTGGCGATGTATTAACTGGCTATCATACTTTGTTTTGGCGGAATCTATAGCATAAATAATTACACAATAATAATAACTTACGTCATTAATAGTATTGGTCAAGAATATACCTTTGCCTTGACTACTGGAAGATGGCTTGACAATCCATTGCTTGCTTAGATCTGCTTGCATAGCCTCATGAAGTTCATTTAACTCATTAGGCAAAATAAATGTAAGCGGTACGAATCCGTAATGCTTGGGTCCATGAATTTCTCTCATTCTTGCTAGAAGTCTGTACATGCAGTCTTTTCTAGTGATTTCAGTTGATTTAGGAAAGTGATTGACCTTTTGATACTTTGTTAATGACTAATAGACTTATGATTTAATGTTACTGCAAGCCCACATCACTGTAAACTCCTAATCTCTCTTAGTGGCTTCTCTAAAACCATTATCTTCCAAAAGGGACCTTATTAGTCTTGCCTCTACACCGTTATACATCTTAAAATAGAGGCCTCTATCTGGTGGTTTATAAGGTCTTATGCTAATGGGATCAATATATGGCCTGAAGCACATGTATTTTTTGAATAGTCTATTTTCAATTGCTTTTAGCTGTCGAGTCAATTATTCATGTTCATTTGCTTAATTCGACTAGCCATTTTCTTCTATTTTACTATCATTAAGCTTGTGTGATTTAGAGTTGCTATTGGAGTAGCTGCTTTTGGTAGATATATGTGATTGCTTCAAAGAGTCCTTCTTCACATATTGATTAACATTCCCTTACAGATGTGTCTAAACCTTTTCTTCTTCTTGCTCTTATTCACTTCCTCCCACTCCTAATTGAATTTGCTCATATTGATATATATTATCCTAGTTTGATACAGCCATCATTTACTGCTACTGCTGAGATATTTATTGCAGTTGCTTGTTCAAGATTTCACTTTACTCGTTTTACTAAGAGTCAAGTCTTTTCTGAGATGTTTATGGATAGTACTTATTTTAATCGCTATTTAAAATGTCTATTATTGCATCCAATTCATCATCCATTTTATCTATGAAACAGTTTTTAAAATTTCAACTTAATTTTGAAATTTCATACTATTTCTAATCATGGGGTTTTGGGGTTTTGGGGTAAGACTATCCGCAGCTGAGGTTATCGCAAA